ATGGGTTAATGTTGGACTTGTGGGCTTGGGCAGCATTGGGTTGGGATGTTTTCATGATGCACCTTTTCTTTACATAAAACTCTCTCTTATACGTGAGTTGCTGTGGATTTGTTTCTCCAAAGTACCTAGACTATTACAGAAATCTAAACAATATGAAAGCTATTTTGGTTTGTTGATAAGTAAGTGACTTCACTAGAGAGATAACTATTTTTATTCGGATAATATTTCACTGTATTTTGGACAGAACTTTGCATAGCTATTTAGCTTCCCATTCAACACCTACACTGCCTGTTCAGTGACATGAGCTACATTCTTCACAAGGTGTGAACAGCCTTGTTTTCATTCTGGTTGTTCATTTCTGCTTATATGGTTTCATTTCCCCTTTTGTTTTAAAGTAATTGTTGACTGCTTAATCTCATACAGGTGATTTTTTTAAAGGAGCATAGTACTTATGGGTGATTTTTTTTTGGGGGGGTCAGTTTGTGATTAGCTTCAAGGTGACCTCAAAGGTTAGTTTTGGTTCAAGGTTTGGATTAGTATCTAGGGACAGCAGTCTCAAGAAGTCCTTGGGTCTTAACTAGTTCAGTAGATAGGAGTTTTTTGGTGGGGGATATGGGGAAGACATGCCTACATACATATACAAGAGTAAATCCAAAAGTATTGGTACTAGGGTTTCAGTTCATGCATGGTATGGATGGGTTTATTCCAACTAAAACATGTTTGAACAGGTCTTTATGATCATTGGATGGCTGCAGACAAGTTTCTGAGTAAGACACATGTAGTTTCATTAGGGTGTCTTTAAAAAAGAGAGAGAGACACTTTATGCCATGGATTTTGAGGTCAGGGCTAATATAAAATGTTTACAAAGCTCTAGTGGCCATCCTCCCAAGTCATTGTAGCTCTGCAGCAAGGTTATAGGAATGCTGCCCCGCACAAAATAATTCATGTAGATCAGGAAGGCCAGGAAGACCCCAAAGATGAACACTGTAGGGAGGTCAGCTCAGAAGGTTATGGGACTGCTTCTTGGGAATCCAAAATGGGGGGTAATCATGATAGATTTTCCTCCAAAGACACAAGTTGGTTATGGGCTTATTATCAGGAAGTGTAAACAAAATTGAGACCTGCGATGCGAGAAAAAGGCCAGGAAAGTTGCACCGCGGAGTGTTTTTCTGACACAACGATGCACCTCCTCTTTCTAGAAGGCCGTCAAGGGCTCTTTTTTTGAGAATTTAATTGAAAAACATCCCCGTCACCCTGCTTACAGCCCTAATCTTGCCCCTTCAGACTTTTCCCACTAAACTCATCGACTATTGAAAAGGAACCTGATTTGAGCCCCTCAAGGAGGGCACGTTGCCGTTTTGATGTGAATTGAGGAGTGTAGAATTTTGCAGGGAAAGCTGAGAGCAATGGAAAACACTGCCTTCAGAAGTTGTAGGATATAACCAGGAAAAACAGCATCCCTTTTTGATATATAACAAAGGTTTTTATGATTTTGTAGCAGTTCTTTTTAACTTCCCCTCATATACCTGACCGTATATTTCTTGGGGGGTGCTTTCTGCTGTTGTTTAAAAGCATCAGCTGTAGCAACTATAAAGAGAGGTCCTTTTTGTGTGTGTGCTTCTTATAGTGATATCATTTACCTTTAAGCTGCTTACACTTCACCCTCAGTTGGTGTTATTTTTCCCATCATCAAAAACAACAAACACCTGTCTTCTATCTAGAGAGTGAGCCCCTGTGTACTCCCTCATTCCTGGTAACCACTGATGAACCATGTGTCTGCTATCTCCATATCTCCCTGTCCTTTCTCTCTTAAAATATAACCAGGACATCTGGTGAGACATTGGATTGAGGGCCCACCCCAATTCAATATGACCTTGTCTTAACTTCTTTATCCCTGCAAAGACAGCATTTCCACATTAGGTCACATTCACAGATACAAGGACAGATCTTTAAAATCTTTTCAAGACATAATTCCATTCATTACAGAAGGGAAGATGCAAATAAAAAGAAGGCAGTAGTCATTAAAAGCTGACAAAATAAGCATATAGTGAGATTAGGATAGCATACAAATAACGAGAAGGAAAAAGTCTATACTTTTTTGTCATGTTCATTGAACAATTTCATAAAACTTAGACAGTAGTCATAATGAAACTTCCGTGTAAATAGTGTAAAATAATAGAAAATGTAAACATAAACAACATTCTTTACTATGGTATAACAACATTAGAAATAAATAAACAATGAAGAAACAAAACAGTCACTACTATATATTGAAACCTATGGGGAATGTCAACATACACCTTATTTTCATGAGAAAATTTGTATAGTCTAAAAATGTTTGAAGCCAAACAAGAATTAAGTACTATAAATTAGGTATTAAACTGAAACATTAGATTTCTTTCCACCTTACCCTCAAAGGACACCAAAGAGTAAATTAATGAATATGAGAATAGGTGAATAACACAGATATCAGGAGATAAACTATATATTCCTCTAGTTAAGAAAGAAGGTGGGGGAAAGGAAACATTAAATTGAGTAGAAGAAAATTATCAGAGAATTTAAAAATTTTGTTTTTCATGAAAACACTGTGCTTTTATTCAGACAGCACTACTAAGCCTATTAGTGTATGCTTATTCTGTTTTGTACACTTAATATGTAAACATAAAATTAAATGGTTTTAAATTATTCTTGCTTTTCAGTCTATCGTACAAGTGGAGACATTAGGAGAATTTGGTGTATTCTTTACTCTTTTCCTTGTTGGATTAGAATTTTCCCCAGAAAAGCTGAGAAAGGTAAGGACTGATCCATGTATACTGTATGTCCCTAAGCAACTTAATATAATGTAGTTTTGGTTTATTTACTTTCAACGTGAAAACTAAGTCATCAGCCAATGTTAAGTATCTTTAAGATAGCGTATCATACTATGTTGTTGTTGTTATTGCTAGGTGCAGTCGCATCAGTTCCCGCCCATAGTGAGCCAGTGTGTAACAGAACAAAACAATGCCTGGTGCTGCACCTCTTCACCATTGTTACGTTTGAGTTCATTGTCGCATCCACTTTGTCAATCCAAGCTGTCGAGGGTCTTCCTCTTTTTAACCGCCATTCCACTTTACCAAGTATAATATCCTTTCCTGGGACCGGTCTCCCCTGATAACATGTCCAAAGTAAGTCAGGCCAAGTGTTGCCATCCTCACTTCCAACAAGCTCTCTGCTGTCCGTCTTTCCAGATTTGTTTTTCTTCTGCCAGTCCATTATGCTTTTAATATTCTTGGCAAGCACCATACTGTAAATTGATTCTTCTTTGGTCTTCCTTTATCTCGTGTTCAAGTTTTGCATGCATATGAGGCAATTGAAAATACCATGGCTTGTGCCAAGCACACTCTAGTCCTCAAAATTACACTCTTGCTCTTCAATACTTTTAAAAAGGACTTGTGCAGTGGATTTACACAATACATTATTTGATCTCATCTGCTGTTCCTTCAGCACTGAAATGGATCCGAGCATGATGAAATCCTTGACAACTGATCAATTTTACATTTATCGTGATGTTGTCTATTGGTTGTTATGAGGATTTTTGTTTTCTTTACATTGAGTTGTAATCCAAATAAAAGGCTGCAAGTCTTGATCTTCATCGACAAGTGCTTCATATCTTCCTCACTTTCAGCAAACAAGGTTGTGTCATCTGCCTAGCACAGCTTGTTAATAAACCTTCTTCTAATCCTGATGCCGTATTCTTCTTCTTATAGTCCGACTTCTCTGTTAATTTACTCAGCATACAGATTGAATAAGTATAATGAACAGATACAACCCTGGCACACACCTTTCCTGATTTTAAACCATGTAGTATTCCTTTGTTATGTTTGAATGACTGTCTCTTGATCCATGTACAGGTTTCACATAAGCACAAGCACTATCAAATATTGTGGAAACCTCATTTCCGCGATACTATCCAAAGTTTGTTATGATCCACACAGTTGAATGCCTTTGTATAGTCAGTAAAGCACAAGTAAACATCTGTCTGGTGGTCTCTGCTTTCAGCCAAGATCCATCTGACAGCATCAATGATAACCCCTCGTCTCATATCCTCTTCTGAATCCAGCTTGAATTTCTGGCAGTTCCCTTTCAAATGCATTGCTGTAATCGTTCTTGAATGACCTTCAGCAAAATTTTACTCCCATGTGATTTTTAAAAAATCATTTTATTGGAAGGTCTTACAGGTATCATAACATTCCATAATTCAAATGAATCAAGCACAATTGTACAATTACTACTGCAATTAGTTTCAAAATATTTTCTTTATTCCTGAGCTCTATGATATTGGCTTCCCTTTATTCTGATATTAATGATATTGTTTGATAATTTCTTCATTCTCTTGGGTCACCTTTCTTTGGAATAGGTCAAATATGGATTGCTTCCAAATTTCTTAGCATAGTTTAGTGAGTGCCTCCAGTGCTTCATCAGCTTGTTGAAACATTTCAATTAGTTGTCCATCAATTTTTTAGACCCTGTTTTTCACGAATGTCTTTAGTGCAGCTTACACTCCTTCCTTAAGTATCACTGATTCATGATCTTATGCTACCCCTTCATATTGTTGAGTGTCAAGCGGTTCTCTTTGGTATTCTTTCCATCTTCTTTTATGCTTCCCGCATCGTTCAATATTCAAGTGGGGTATACTGAAGGTCTTATTTTGGCTCTCAGGGACTTGTTTTTGTTTACTTCAACTTCAGCCTGAACTTATAAATAATTGATGGTCCGTTCCACAGCCAGCCCCGCGCATCCGTCTAATATTGAGCTCCACTTCTCGTTCCGCAGATGTTGTCAGTTTGATTCTTGTGTGTTCCATCTGGTGACATCCACATGTGTCATTGCTGTTCAGGTTGTTGAACAGAGCTATTTATAATGAAGAAGTCATTGGTTTTGCAAAATTCTATCAGGCAATCTCCAGCTTAGTTTCTATCTCCAAGGCCATAAATATTTCCCCACTACTGTCCCATCCTCTTTGTTTCCAACTTTTGCATTTGAATTGCCAATAATTATTAATGCATCTCTCTTGCCTGTTTGACGAATTTCAAACTGAAGAAATTGGTAGACTGTTTCAATTTCTTTATCACTGGCTTTAGTAGTTGCTTGTGTAAGGAACCCTGGTGACAGAAGATTACACATTTTGCTGCTAACCACAGGTCAGCAGTTTGAAACTACTAGCAGTTTTGAGGTAGAAAGACAAGGTTTAATACTCCCGTAAAGAGTTACAACCTCAGAAACTCACAGGAGCAGTTCTGCCCTGGCCTGTAGGGATGCTTTGAGCTGGGATGAGCTTCTTTTAATAGTTTGGTATTATCTTTTCAATGATTATACTAAAATGTTAGGTTTGTAAAAGTGGAAGTTTTAAAAGTAATCAGAATTAGCTTCTTTTTAAAAAAATCACTTTATTGGGGGCTTATACCGCTCTTATCACAATCTGTATATCTATCCATTGTGTCAAGCACATTTGTACATATGTTGCCATCATCATTTTCAAAACATTTTCTTTCTATATAATTAGCTTCTATGTGGCAAATTCTATAAGTCTGAAAAGTAATAAATTTGAACTTTAATATATGGCTACCTCCAAGAAGGCATAAAACTCCTAAAAGGTGAAATATTTAGGGCTTGGATAGTTAATATGCTAATTAGAAAAATTAATTCCTGACTAAGTGGAAAACTTTGGTTTTATTTTTCTGTCACTGTAAAATGAAAACATACAAGTAATTAAAAGTAGTTGATGGCACTGTTGGGTAAGCATTGGATTCCTTCACCACAAGATGGACAGTTCAAACCCACCAGCTGCTCCGATAGCTACTAAAGATGACGCTGTCTATGCCTATTCATAGAACAGTTTACAGCCTTGCAGACCCAGTAGGGGATCACTGTAAATAGGAATCGACTGGCTGGCAGTGGGTGTGGGATTTTTCAGGGCTGTATGAAGGAGACCTAGCGGCACAGTGGTTAAACTCTTGGGTGCTAACTGAAGGGTCAGTTGTTCTAACTCACCAGCCACTCCATGGGAGACAGGTGGTACTCTGCTTCCCTGGAGACTACAGCAGCCTTGGGAGCCCTAGGGGGCCATTCTACTCTGCCCTCCAGTCGCCATGAGTCGGAATGGCCTCGCCAGCAGTGGGTAGGAACCATATGTCTGAGTAAATGTTAAATAAAGGGGGTTATAGTTGACTTCTAAATCAGTTTACTTGTGTCCTTATTAACTTGACTGTTGAGATGTTTTAGAATGGAAATGGAATTAATTTGGAAGTTAGTTAATTAAAAGCTACTCTTTAAAAAATAACCTCACAAAAGAGGAAAATAGCTAATTAAAAAACTAATGGCGACAAAAATAATCATTACTGGTAACCAAACTAATAAAATTAGATAACCATTGGTCCTGTCGCTATTCTCTGTCTGGATTGTTAATATCAAATTAGCATAGAATTTTTTTTTTTTAGCACAGAATTTTTAAAGTTTCAACTAGTACACCTTTTATAGAGAGCATTCTAGCAGTTAGATTTAAAAGCCTTAAAATCTCATATCCTTTAACCCAATAGTTCTCCTGGGTCTTTATCCAAAAGAAAGAATCAAAACTAAGTTTTAAGAAACCTAACTCATAAAAGATTTACAACACTGTATTAATAAAACAAACAAACAAACAAACAGATCAAAAGCTATCTGAGTATTCAGTGACTAATTAAACTCTGACATAAAACTTGGAAATTATGTAGCCATTAAAAATACTACGAAATATGTAGTAAAAGAAAAATCTTTGCTAAAATTCTAAGCTTAGAAAAGCGAGCATGTAGTATGTCCAAAGCTTTTAAAAAGAAATACAAATGCTTAGAAGAAAACAACAGTTAATAAATGTACCAGATAACTGTGAATGACTTCTTTCTTCTTTTCCTGTTTTTTGAATTTTACAAATACGCAACAGATACTATAATGAAGAAAATAATGCACTCTCGATGTTTGTTGGTTTTGAAGGAGTGACTGAGCTGTTCATACTGAAATATTTGTTGTTATAGCTGCTACTATGATTTCCTTCATTTAGCATGTTATTCTTCAGATCTTTTGACCTTTTTTCCATTAACAGAAACCTTTACTTGATTACTCTCACTTCTCTTTAAACTCATATCAGGAAATGCTTCCTCATAAAGTACTCTGAATTATATTTTCATTTTCTCTGGTACTTTTGTAATTTTTTGTACTTCTTGCATGATAATATCCATGTATTAATTTCTGAACTCAAAGTTTAAAGAAAATTGACCACTTTTCAGGGATCTAAAGAAAAATGGTGGGGAAAAAAGAACAGAACAATGACTTCATTCTTCGTGGTAACTCTTTTGAGCTGTGTATCGGGAGTGGGATGAAGGAAAACAGGCTAGACAGTCCTCTGCTTCACCATAGTGGTGTAGGACTTGTAAACACGCAGTATTTTATTAGGCTCCTTAAAGATATCGGGCCTCAGTTTCATAGTGTAGCTTATTCTGATCTTGGTACGAGGTATATATGTTTAATTTGGAAGAGTTTCACAATCATAACAATGGCTCATTGTGATTTACTGCCAGAAAGGTGATACAATTCAGGTTCTGCCATTAGATCTAGCTACCTCCAACAGGATAGTTAAGTCTTGGGGACACTAATTTCTCATCCATATACTATGAAGCATCTGGAAAATTAAAAGTTTCTTCTGCTCTAAATTTTCTTACTTTGTATTTTTCACTAGTGTATTCACTGTTACATAGTAAAATAATGTTGTATAATGTTAACATTAATTTTAAATGATGCAAAAACTACACATTTTTATAATGTTGCTATTTTTGTAATGTGTGGGGTGGTCATGGGGTGGTCACATTTAGTTATTTTATATAATGAAATATCCCCCCCAAGCATTTTTTAAATTTACATTTGATGGTCTAATACTTAGGAACCATTTATATTATATATTAGTAAATTAGGTTGAGCTGTTCAGGGTGATAATGACGAGGGGAAAGATTTTTGTAAAGAGAGTAATGTGACCCCATAGGAATAATCTTTGCTCAGCATCTAATTTGGGTGACTTTGGGTGATAACCTTTCTATCTCAGGCTGAACCCCGAGGTAGCCGCTCATGGCCCTTTAACTCTGAAATCGTGTTGCTCACTCCCAGCCAGTTGTTCCACTTCCAGAGGCTGAGCCGTTGCTGTTGCCACCCAGTGGCAACCCTGGAAACTCAGCATGCAGTAGAGCTGTGGGTCTCATTGTTCATTACCTTGCAGTTAGCAGCCCAGTGGGAAACCACCATACCACCATCTCTTACATCACTTCTTTCTGTGGTTTCCCCACCATCTCTACATTTAGTGGAGGGTCTTCAATTAGGATTTAGTGCTTCCTGGTTTCCATTTGTGAGAAGGGTAGTTGAGAGGGTATAGGGAGAAGAAGAAATGAACAAGTAGATTCAAACCTTGAACTAATCCTCTGAATAGGAATAGGAATAGTTTTCCAGTTTAATTTCTTTTGTTAGTATATAATATTCATGTTCATGTAAATATTACTTTTAATTATCTTCTTTCTTCAACTAGATTGAAAGCTATCTGGGCAAGGATCAAACTTTGTTCCATATTTTTCACCACACGTATTACATATTGTTGTTGTTAACTGCCATCAAGTTGCCCCACTCATAGCGACCCCAGGGGTCAACTAGAAGAAAACGTCTCTGCAGGGTTTTCCTTGGCTATAATCTTTACCAGGTCTTTCCTCCCACAAAGCCGCACACTGGGTGGGTTCAAACCGCTGATTTTTGTGTTAGCAATCAATTGAAACTACTAAAAAAAAATCACTGCCATCAAATCGATTCTGACTCATAGTGATTCTATAGGGTAGCGTTTAAATGCCCCTGTATGTTTCCAAGACTGTAAATCTTTATAGAAGTAGAGAGCCTCATCTTTCTCCAGAGGAGTGACTGGAGGCTTTGAACTGCTGCCCTTGTGGTTAGCAGCCAAACGCATAACCTACTACTCAGCTAGGAGTTCTACTGGCTACCTTATAAATGTCTGTTTGATTATAGAGCCACACTTCTACATGCTGACTCCAGCGTTTGCTAATTGTTAGGCTGGGGTGTCTTTAGAGAAGTAAATTCAGTGGTACTCACATATGCATAAGAAAGAGCCTATATCAAGAAGTAATTGTATATCAAGAAGGTGTCCCAGCCCAGTTTAACTTTAGGCCAGAAGTCTGATGCTAGTCCTCAAGTACCCCTTCAGACTCAGACTCAAATAGCTGCTGGCTGATGCCACAGAAAGGAGAAGCAGGAAGATCACAAGTCAGTAGGAGCAGAGTCATGTGGATCCAAGTTGGTGGAAACATGATAGGGTACTAACAGCCCTCAGTGTCAGGCGGCTGCATGGGGCTACCCCACAGGCAGGTAGAGTCCCACCCAGCAAGCAAGAAGGGAGAGGGGCAAAGAGAAGGAAGTTCCCAGTTTCTTCCTTATGGAAAGATCGCCACCCCACCCCACCCTCGAAAGGCATCATCAGACTGTGACCTGATTGACAGGTTGATTCCACTCTTACACTTTTGTACATATTCAAGTTAACACAAAATCATCCAACGACCACACTATCCATGTCACCCTAGGCGAGTTACTCAGCTTTTTATGCCTCAGTTTTCTCATCTAAAAGTGCAAGAAATGGCAAACTCTGCCTCAGAGATTTGTTCTGAGGATTCAATGAAGGTATTTAGCACTTAGAACAATATCTAGCACATAGTATTCCTTATTCTCATATACCATATTTAGGATATAAATAATGTATGTACATTTTATGGTGATAGCCATGCCTTTTCTCTACTTATTAGGGTATATATAAATAACTATATTCTCTTTAAGGTATGGAAAATATCCTTACAAGGACCATGTTATATGACCCTATTGATGATTGGATTTGGCTTATTGTGGGGACACTTCTTACAGATCAGAGCCACTCAAAGTGTCTTTATTTCGACTTGTTTGTCCTTATCAAGCACACCCTTGGTATCCAGATTCCTTGTGGGTAGTGCTCGAGGTGATAAAGAAGGTAAGTGATCATGGGCTTTTAAGTATGTGTTGAAATGTCGTCTGTATAGTTGACTTTTGAATTCACAACTGAAGTCCTATTAGAAAAAACCTGCAATTCTTTAGGTGCTTTAGCTATTTTGAATATTTGTGCTTAGAGTCCATGAGGGACTAGTATCTCTATAAATTCAACTTTATAAACTTTTACTTGATTGGAAAAATGCCTATAAGATGTTTATAAATTTAGGATTGCCTAAGGACCTGAGAGCAAATGGACCAAATTTGAAAGAAAAAGACAAACCATAGATATATGAATGGATTTGGGCCTCGCACTTAATTCTAGTCCCAATCTAAGAACAATCAGTTCTTAGGACCTGGCCCTATTCAATACTTGCCCTTATGAGGAGATCACTGAAGTTAATGGGTGCTATAGCAAAGTGTGGTGAAGAAACTAGGTGCCTGGCTAACAGAAAGAATAGCATCTGAGAGCTTAAAGGCTTGTCTTAAAACAAGCAGCCATCTAATTGAGGTGTCAACTAAGTTCACATGGAAGAAGAAGCACACCAGCCTGTGTGATCCAAGAACTATAAGTAATAAAATCCATATCTGCAAGAGGGAATGGCATCAGAGCTTAAATTGTGAATAGCTAGTTTTCAGACAGCTATGGACGGCAGTAGAAGCCCCAAAACTCTTCTTAGAGTCCACATATGGATTACGCCTCTGCTGAATTCCCCTCTGCAGATAGTCCAGGGATGTGGATTTCCTTGCCATCGGAGAGCACTGTAAAGTCAATTATTGAAGATATAGTTGGGTTAAAATGTAATACCTTATCATTTGATCTTCCTTTGACACATTTTAAAGTTGTTTCAGTTTTTAATATTTTCTGCAATCTTTTCAATTAAGGGTTTTCTCTGTTTTGTGTAGTTGTTGTTTGTTTGTTTCCTGTTTGTGTTTTGTGTGATTTTCTGTATTTGAAATCCAGGATAGGTAAATCTGTAGAGATAGTAACAGGATTAGTAATTACCTAGGGGCAGGGGAGGATGGTAGGAAATGGGGAGCTAATGAGTACAAGAGAAAAATCTTCTGAAATCGATTGTGATGATTACACAACTCTTCTTAATATGATTGAATGATTAAATTGTATAGTATGTGAAATATGTGGCAATTCAACATTTTTTCTTTTAAGTACTATGGAATTGCAACTTTAAGAGACTTAATGTGCCCTCATTAGTTTTGTTAGGTACTGGAAATTGACATACTGTCAATATTTCTTTCCCTGTATTTTGTAAACTGGATTACTTAATTTGGACCTTTTTTCCTGTCTTTGTAATCCTGCCAAGTGATTGGGTAGGACTATGTAAACATGAGGTGCTGTGGCCCAACATACAGATTAGATAGCTTGGTAATTTATATAAATAAGGTACATGGTGCTACTGTGGGGATGAGACCATGCAAATAAGGCATATGGGACCCAAACTTAAGGATTGTTCAGTTTCGACAATCTGCTAGGCTTAAAATAAGCAGTTCCAGATGTGGAAAGGAGGCTTTCACTACCATTGAAGAAGAGCCCAGAGTGGAGCTGGTCCTTTGGACCTGAGATCCCTGCAGTGAACTACCTGGAGCCAGAGCCAGAGCTGTGACCGTGGAGATGGAGAGGAGTAGCTGCAGAGAAGCAGTGAGAGCAGAACTAGCACAGGACAGAGCTGTGGGCTTGCCAGCCTGCAGAACAAGAGGACTGAGTACCTTAGGGCAGCAGGCTTTGGGGGGCATGGAGTGCCTCTAGGAACTTGTTCAGGGAGCTGGATTTGCCGACCCACCGAGCTTGAGCTGAGCACTTTTGGGCAGAAGTGGAGTCTGTGCCTCGGGCAGAGCTAAAAGAGCCATGTAGCATTTGCCTGAGGACGACAGAGGCCAGACCTAGGGGCCAAGGGCCAGAGAGGGGTGTGTCTTCGGTCATGATTGAGAAGAGGCTGCCCTGATCAAAGAGCAGTTTATTCTGAGTGTTCCTGAACTTGAATCGTAACTTGTTGCTTTCCTAGTAAGCCCCATAATGTGAGTGTCGTCTGTGGCTGGGTGTGACCATTGCAATGAGCTATCGGACCCAGCAGAGAAGTAATGAGTGCTTGGGAAGGGATGGTTGGTATCAGAATTGGTAAAAAGGTTCGAGGGTTGCGGCATGTCTGAGCTCCATCTTGTAGGACTCAGCTTGGGCAGCTGAAACCAAGGATCTTGATTTTCCTCCTTGACCCTTTGTGAAGTTGGAGGAGGTCGGATGTTCCTATTTTTTTTAAAGAAGCATAGTATTTTGGTTAACTATAGGTGTTTTAAACTCTTCTACTTTGGTTTTAGTTTTAACTGTGTGTGTGAAATATTGACATCTCTAAATCATTTTGGTTGTGGAGAATACTATTGTTGTGAGCTTAAGAATAAACATTGTGAGTTGTCACGTGGTGGCGTCGTCCTCTGTATCACACTTAAACGTTGACAAGAAATTCAGTACGTTAATTTTCAATTTTATTTTTACTTTGTGAAAGCCAATTAAAAGGTGTCAAAATGTAATAGCAACTTCATAAAGTTTGTGGGAAAATGGAACTAAAATATGAATTTTTTTTATGAACTTTTTGAGTGCCCCACAGAAGGGGACAAAGGGCTGACTGGTTGCAAAGGAGAAAAATAATAACGTCTCATTTAAGGGCTGCGCGCCAAAATGTCAACACCAATGCAGAAATGTATTGCTAGAAAAGAGCACGTAAACTCAATGCTCAGAACACAGTCTCCTCTCATTTAAGGAACAGCATGGAAAAAACTTCAAAATAAGCATGTTTACAATACTGAAAACACAAAAAATAGAATTGCATCTATTTGAAAAGGAAGAAAATGATTAAATGGAATTAGGCAAAAATGAAATAAGATTTCTTAAATATTTTTATATTTATGAAAAATAATTAGAAATTATGGGCATTGCAACACTGTTCAGAATAGCCACAAGATTTTTTTTATTAAAAACACCTTTTGAGAATAAATGTACAAATGTGCTTGCCACAATGGATGTATGTATGGATTGTGAAAAGAGTGGTATGAACCTCCAATAAAATGATTAAAAAAAACTCCTAATGTCTATCAACAGATGAATGGATAAATAAAATGTGACATATATGTATAATGAGAAATAAAGTCCTGCTACATACTGAAATGTGGATGGACAATGAAAACACAAGTGAAATCCATCAAAAAAAGGATATGTATATACACACACATCCCACTTAAATAGCTCAAATAGGGTCTAGAGACTATTTATTAGTGCTTAGGAGGGCTGAGAGAAAAAGAGTTGTTGCTTAAAGGGCAGTGACTCTCTGGAAAGGCTAACAGAATGTGAAAGTGCATCATAGTGATGGTTGCACAGCAGGATGAATAGTACAAATTATGTCAAATCATGCAGATTAAGGACAAATTAAAGTCAATGAACTGTATGTGTAAAAAAAGTTGAAATGGCAAATGTTTTGTCATCTATATATTTAGCACAATTTAAAAAATAAGAAAAATAGTATTTTAATGAAAAATAACAGGGAACATTAAAGAAACCAGCTTGAGAGGCTTTATGGGTACACTGTAGGGGTCAGGGGAAACACCCACCACCCACTGCCATCCAGCTGATTCTGACGACCCTGTGTGAGGTTTCTGAGGTTGTAAATCTTCACAAGAGCGGACAGCTGTGTCTCTGTCCCTGGGAGCAGCTGGCAGTATTGGACCACAGACCTTGCAGCTGGCAGTCCAACACTAATGCCACAGTACCACCAGGGCTCCTTAATGGGGAAAATAGTAAGTTTTCAAAATTGGAAAAAGATATGAGCCCTTAGATGGAAAATACATCTCCAAAAGTAAACAGGAAAAAATGAAAAAAAAATTTCAGGTATATTAAAAAAAAAGTACAATGTACTTAGAAATAAATCTCTCAAAAGATATAGGTGATCTTTGAGGATTAAATTTTTTTTTACATTAGCAATCTGTGACATAGATATATTATTACATTTGTAACATGTCTATAAATAGATTTTATATTGAATTCTAAATTCTTAGGTAAGTCTACCTTCCCGAAATGCTACCACTAAACAACTACTACTCTCTTCTTACTGTCTTTAGCTTGAGCAATTTTTTAAAAAACACAAAGAACATCCATTTCTAATTAAATTTGCCAACTTTAAACAAATAGACTCTGTGCTCTGCATTTTATTTATTATTTCATTTTTGCATGCCAGACATTCCCTTTAGTCCATTGCTCACTTTTTGTAGTTCAGTGCGGGCTGGATGGGCGGTAGAAGCTCTGTGTGTACTCTTTATCTGAAAACTGAAAATGCTTTCACGGAAGATGTTTCTTACTGTGTGTGAAGCCTTAGGCTGACTTACTTCCCCCCACCTCCCTCAGCATGTTGAAAATGGGACTCCACTGTTTTCTACAGAATGTTACTGACAAGGTATGTTACTCTTTATAGATTACTGGTCTTTTCCGGTAAGTGCTCAGATTTACTCTTCGGCATACCTGGAATTTTTTTCCCCATTTTTTTCCTGTGGCATAATGTTGCCAGAGGCATAGGTGATGACAATGAAATAACCCAAACACTACCAATAACTGTGAGAAATGAGCTATTGAATGCATGATATTCATCCAGGTGAAGAAGATATTAAACTAGAACTTGGCGACTGAGGTGCACCTGACCCAAGTCATGGGTATTTTCAGTCACTTTGTAGACATGTGAAAGTTGGACACTGAGTAAGGAAGACCGAAGAAGAACTAATGCATTTCAATTATGGTGCTGACAAAGAATATTAAAGTACGTACCATGGAATGCCAAAGAACAAACAAATCTATCTTGGAAGACCTACAGCCAGAATGTTCCCTGGAGGCAAGGATGGTGAGACTGCTCACTTGCTTTGAGCATGTCAGGAGAGACCAGTCCCTGGGGGACACCATGCTTGCTAGAGTAGAGGGGCGGTGGAAAGAAGAAGTGCCCAGACAAGATGGAC